TCCAAGAATATAAAATATTCTAATACAAATATGTACAATAGATACAGTGTCCTATACTACCCAAACAAAAGAGGAAGAAATATTCAAAAAGTAATTGTTTTTTAACAATTAATTCTGCTTCAAGTTAATGAGAGCTCTCATGAAAATGTGATTACTATCATTCTCTTGACTGTAAACACTACTGTACCTCACCCCTAGCAATGTATTTTAGACTTCCAAATACTAACTGCATCCTAAATTAGACTGAAAGCAATCCATATTGGTGCTGTTGTACATTTTGTTTATATTCTTATTTAAAGAGAGGGAGATGAAATAATATTGACTGTTTTATGTATACCAATTCACTTAAATCAGACACTATATTTTACTTATGGAAAAGACCTGTGTCATGTATATATTAAGTAACTCTACAAACTCTGTGACAGAAGTGAGATTGGGGCAGAACTCAAAGACTACAAATATGACTGAGAACGCAATCTTTAAAATGGCACAGTGGTTCAATATATGTCCAGGTGTTTTCTATATGAGAAATCACCCATAGATATGCCATGAGGGAATCGTGCTGAGGTTCTCCTAATGGGAAGCAGGCAATAGGAAAGCACTCAGATCAAGGCCTAGAATCGTGGGAGGCTGAGCTCCATCCTCCCTCACCCACAATTACACAAGGGCATCATTAGCTCTGTTATCTGGGTTTATGCTGAAGATTCAATGTGAAATATTAGTAGAACTCTAGAATAGCAAGCAAACAAAGATAACAGGGAGGGGTTAAAGACCCTAGAACCCAAACAGAGATGATATGCAAGAATGTGCATGTTTGTCTGTAAATCTTAATTTCAGTTTTCCAAGATATAAAAACCTTATACACCAACCTATGCAATGACATAAAAATAAAGAGAAGAAATTTATAATTTTACTGGGAGAACAGTATATCTCCCAAATAAGATAATAAATATTTAACAAGGGTTATTAGGTATAAACCCACAAGTGTAACAGATAGGCACTTCTGTAACCTTAATTTTAAGGTAGCTAAGCTAGGCCTGGTGGCATATGTCTATAACACCATCTATGAAGGAGACTTCAGTAGAGTAGAAGTTTGAAGCCATCCTGGCCTACATAAAGAGACAAAATCAAGAAAAGAAAAAGAAAGTGAAGCATCTTGGAATAAATAGAGAAACGGTAAGAAGAAAACTTATCTATAAAGTGTTAACAACCTATGAAAAATGCCTAAGTATGAAGTATTTCAAGAAATGAAGTAACTCTCAATAAACAATTGCTATTAATAAATTAAGGCTCTCTTCCTACTGGAGCATGTAATTCTGGTCTTGTCCTTATTGATTAAATCTGTACGTGCTAAAACATAGAAGTGTGTTTATGTCAAGGAAGAAAACACTAATCAATGAATCCAACAACAACAAAAACCAGATTTCCACTTTTATATGTAATATATTTGCAGATTTCCTTCCTAATCTTTTGTGTAGAGGCTGAAATAAGGTCCTGCACAGTGTGGATGGCAATGTGGAATGATGAGAACCATAGCTGCTATGCACTCTACTCAAATCTGGGGAACACTCAGCCTAATGGGACCAGCAGGCCTCTCAGCTCCATGCACGAACTGGCACTTAACCACGACCATCACCACGCCCCGAACAAACCCTTCATGGAGAATTTCCTCTAAAAAGTTTGTTCAGTAAAATGCTAAGCTGTCTCAAATTCAAGGAGTATAAACTGGAAGGTCCAAAGACAGAAGGCGCAATGGAAATATTTTGAAGAAATGAAGAGCAAAAAAATTTCCAAATGTGAACAATAAACTCCAAGAAGTCAGAAATTCAACAAGTTGCAAACAGCATATAAGAAACAAAAAAGAGAAAGTCCAAAAAGCAGAGGTAAAGGTGTTAGTTAGAGAAAACCTAAGAGGAGAATGGCAATAGAGTGTGCTCACTTCGGCAGCACTAATACTAAGATTAGAACAATACAGAGAAGACTAGCGACCCCTTCGCAAGGATGAAACGCAAATTCGTGAAGCGTTCCATATTTTTTGGTATGTATAATCTCTTAAAAAAAAAAAAGAAGAATGGCAATAGATTTACAGAAACAAAGGACCACAAGATATAGTAACTTTCACCTTCTACCTGACAAGTACAGAAATTAGCCACAAATGGGGTTACAGGGATGGGTTAGCAGGGAAGCAAAGTGAAGTCAACATGAAGACCCGAGTTCAGATCCCCAAACCCACATTCACAGAAACCAAGAATGGTGATATGTGTATGGAACAACAGCATCCCAACGGACAGAGACAGAAGGATCACTGGGGCTGCAAGGTGGCAGCCATGCTCTATACCCAGTGAGAGACTATGCTTCAAGGGCACAGGCGAAGCTTGATAGAGCAGGAGCCCTGACATCTCCATCTGACGTCTGCAAATGCACAGGTGGGCAAACACTCACTCCTACACATGCACATTCACTACACAAAGAAGCATCACGTTCATGTGTTCACATGAAAATACATGTAGAAAGGCAGAAAGGAAAAGATGGAGGGTGGGAAGGAAAGATGAAGACAGACAGAAAATAGATAAAACACACAATGTAGGGTATGACTGACACTGGACATTACAGAAAAGCAAAACTCATTAAGAGCTGAATTTATGGAACTCATACCAAAATGTCAAAATTCTTCTCTTCTGAAGACAAAAATCACAAACTGGAAGAAAATCTTGGAAATCATGTATGTGATAAGTTACATCTAAAATATATACAGAAACCTTAGATTCAATAAGAAATGGGCAGCTGTATTCTAAGATGAACAGAGGACCTCCAGAAACCTTCAGCACTGATGAAAACAAGACATATAAGGCCACAAGAACATGGCCAAAAGCATTCAAAAAATTAACGGAATCCAAAATGGGATTCTTTGGAACAGTTACTACAAACAGGAGAAAGTAAAAAGAACAAGGCCCCAATGTCCTGTCAAGTACATGGGAAGAGGAACTACTGAATAATGTCTGGTTAGAATATGACTAG